TGCTGATCATGCTAGTAACATCTTTTTTGGGGCAGCTTTATGATACATAAAGCAGGATAACTGATGATAGAGTTAACAACAAGGATGCACTGTAACTGTAACTTACAGATGTGTTTGTCATTAAAATATGCTCAAAAGATCTGCTTCAAAATATTACATAATGTCTCATAAAACTCATAGGAAAATAAGTCAAAGGTAGTAGAGCATGAAAACACTAAGTTCTCTCCTGTTCTAAAAACACCTGCTACACAGCAGTGAATTATGTGCCTCAGGAACAAAGCTCAGCCCAAATTCTGGATTTCCTGGCTTTTACACTATACAAACGGGATTTGTGTCTTAACCCTGTGGTGCGTTTCTGTTCGTCAGCTTTGGCGCAGGCAGCTGACTGAGGCAGCATAAATAGGCCGGGTCTTTGGGTCTTGTAAGCAACTATTTGTGGAGGTGCTTTGGACAGATCCGTACCAGCTCCCTTGGAGCCCGTGCAGAATCAGTGGCTCCTGCCTGGATGTAAGAACTCTTCATTTTGGAGGTTTTATCTTTCCTTGCTTAGTTTGCCCCTTTTTTTTTTTTTTTAAGTGGTCATAAAATTCTGCAGATTTTGAACCTTCAGATTAGGATTCAAAGAACTTGGAGCACTTTGCTGCTAAATATCACGTTGACCATATTCCCACTGAGGTCGACTGTCTAAGGGCCTTTCCGTCCCCTTTCTGTGCCCTTTCCTTCAGAGGGGTTTGGAGCAGTGTTGAGCACCAGAGGAATTCTCACCCCGGATATGCCGAGGAGGTAGAGCCAGGATTCCTCATTCCGAAGCCTTGTGCTCCCAGCATGTCAGGGGTGTTTCAGATGTACAGGGCAAGGAGCTGAGGGTCAGTGGAAGTTAAGGCTTCTTGGGCTGTGGAGTCATGGAAGTAGCTATAGAGGTTAGACCAGACTGCTCCAAACTGGGGCAAAAGCCTTCCAATTCCAGCTGCAAGAATTTAAGTCATTTGTTTCTCCTCTTCTGGTGAGATTTCCATTTGCTGTTTTCCATAAGGCAAAGCTCAGCATCTGCAGCAAGCTTGAAAATGTGGCTATATTGAATCTGCTAGTTATTTCAGGAGAAGGAAGGCTTAACTGCTACTCTTTTCTTAAAGGACAAATATCTAAAAAATGCATGCAGGAGAAGCATTTTCCGCTCAGAATGTCTTTGACTGATACAGCTTCAGAAGCAGCACCACAATAGCTTTTCAAAGTATTTCACTGGCTTTTAATATATTCTGCTGTTGAAGTCAGCAGGACTCAAGTGTACTCGCACTGCAGTTAGAAATTTGCAGCATTTTGTTGCCTCTGAAAATGAAGATACAGACATATTTCACTGATACGCAACTGACACGGGCATCTTGGTATATGTAATTTTTATTAGTGAAGTTTGTAGGAGTGCATGACTTTAAGACATGGCTTTGTATGTCATAAATCAGGTTTTGGAAAATGCAGTAGATCTTGTATTCTCATACCTGCCAGTTTACAAAATATTTCAGCCGCTTAATTCTCCACTCTAATTTCCACTGAGGAAAAATTGCAAAATATTTTGGGTTAGTCATGATTACTGTCACTTACCCAGTTATCTATACTTTCTCCACTCAAGTCATACACATCACACTGTATTTTGCTAGCAAAGATCAGCTTTGTGCAACATATTTGGTTTTCTGGTTTGCTTTCAACAATGAGTGACTCCTTGGAGTTTTTGAAGCGATTGGAAATCCTGCTGTTTCAGAGCACCCTTTAGGTACTGAAGATGGGATCCTCCTCGCCAAAGTTCAGATGCCTAAAAGTTGGGTCTGTTCCTGGGGGAGCCTGAGGGCTCCTTGTGCAACCGGTGCAGGGATGTCTGCAGACTGAGTAATGGGTCTGGAGGCTGGTGCCATCGGGGGGATCTGCACGTACCCAGTGCAGAGGGAACAAGACAACTTGCCGAGCCTGGATATGCAACCTTGTCACCTCCAGCTAGGTGAGAAAAGTCCTTTCAGTATTTATTGTTGATCTGATAATTCTGTTTTTTTGTATGTGGATTTGCAATGGCCAAGCTGTACTCGGTGCCAGCTAGACTAGGACCAGCTTCAGAAGTGAAAGCCGGTCACGTGCAAGACGTTTCCCCCCTGATCATTTTAAGTTAAAAGACATCATAGATTCCCCCCTGAGAAAAGAGAGAATGGAGAAAAGCTATTGCCACAGTGGGTTTCCATTACTGAAATTAATTCCTCTCTCATAAGAATTTAGATCTATGATTTATGATAGCCACCAATTTCTCACTGCAGGCAAAGTGAGAGGAAATGACTCAGCCTGGACAGACATCATGAATCTAATTTTTTCCCTAACGGCTGACATAATCTAGTGTGCTGCTCCCAGAAGTGTCATTGGAGATTCATATCCTGCCAAAGGGCCTCACAATCAAAGCGGAAAATTTTGTTACTTTCATGTATTGTGTGATCTGTAATTGTTCGAAATTGCATCCTGCCTCATTCACTGCAGTTTCTTTTACATCAATTTTACAGCAAAATAGTGAGGAAAACAAAGCAAGAGAGTGAAAAGCAGTTTTGTACTTACTCCTTGAGAAAAATCTTTCCTGACATAACATTGGGGTCCAGCTGGTGCTTTTTAAATTCAGATAGATAGTTCTGAGATGAAACAGCCTTCCTTCTGTCTCTCCTTCCGATAGAAATCTCACAACCCACCTGACTTCACAAGTTCTGTCTTTCACATACTGTTTTGGAATTTCGTATTCCAGTTTCTATCACTGATGCAGAATTTTGTGAGTTGGCTTTGCAAAAGGCCAGTCGAAATCATGTTAAATGGTTCAACTAAAATATTTAGCCCTCATTTCAAGGAGACAGGAGATTGTATCCATGTCTCAGCAGAGGAGGCTGATAGGAAGCTAAGTTTTCATGTGCTTTGCAGTTACAAACAGTAGTTTGAATGCATCCTAATAAGTTGCTTCCAAAATGTAGATAAATAATGGATCTACTTATGAAATATGTAAGTATTCCTATATATTTCTGATGTGGCCCTCTGATGTGGCCACATACACCAATGCAAAAGCAAAACAAATACCAGAGCAGTGCAAGCCAGGGCGCTCAGCACACACTGAGCAAACACAAACCCTCTTTTCACAGGGTTGCTGTGTAGCTGCCGCTGATTCTGGCAGCATGCACACATGGAAAGGGTCTGCTTGCCTCAAAATTACCTCTAAAATGTCTCAGTAACTGTGTGTTCATGTACACGATGATGCTCAGCACGCTCAGCTGCCTTTAAATCACCTACAGTTTATTGTGGCTGTCCTGTAACAGGGGAAGGGAGGAGCAGTCCCTTGTGTCAGTGCTGCTCTGTGCAGTCGATATGCACTTCCAGGTGAAAGCCACTCAAGATGTAGTATGTGGTTTTGATAATACTTAAGAAAGGCAAAACAAAATCAGAGAAGGTCGCTTTGTTATTGTTTTCTACTAACTCCTTGATCTTGAGCTCTATACAATGTTCCATTTAGCTTGTCTTTTATATTCAACATAAAACTTTCATCACCCACCTCGCTACACAATTTTAAAGACACATTTTTATTCTCCTTTTCTACTCCTGAATATAGTTGTTTTAATCATACTTTCTGACAAGCCCTCACTGAGCTTGTACAGCAAAAGGCAAATTATCTCACTGGATGCATACTCTTACTAAGGGTTTTTTTTTTTTTTCCTAAAGAAGTCCAAGGTAAATTTCTAGATTGTAGCTGCCAGCCTGCGAGTTATTCAATATCCCTGAAGCACTAGTGGAGAACTGTGAAGTTTTTAAGATACACTATTGCAAGTGCTCTAACGTAGGGAACTGTCAGAGCACACAGCACGTGGCTTGAAGGTTTAGCTCTTCTTTGGAGGCTTCGTGTTCTGCTAAAACTTACCAAAGGGATTGAAATAAATGTATTTAAAAGGCAATGGCTGAAGTGTCTTTCCTTACAAACTGGATCCAAAAAAACAGGGCTGTACAGTATAGAAGGGAGCGTATCGTGCTTTCAAACAAGTTCAATTCTTCATCACCTCTAGAGCTGAAATTTTCTAACAAATTGGCAGTGAGTTCCCATTTCCAATGTTTGGACATATCTGTCAAAGCCTGTGCATAAATAAATGGTATTTTGACGAAAGGTCCCACGAGGGGACTGCTGGAGGGGATTGCTGTATCTATGGTGCGACCTCAGAATGCTGTGGCTATTTTCCAGTACTGTGTCCTGCCCCCTTGATGCTCCTTGTTTCCTGCTCTTAAATAATAACTTGCATTTCTCGAAGCAGAATGAGGCTCTATCAGTGGTTTAACTCCTTTCTAGTTCCTCAGGTCTGGCTCCAGGCAGTCCAGGATTCTGCACGTCCTGCTCCATCCTTTGGGATACCCGCACCGCGGCGCCCGCTCTGCCACCCCACGGAGGGCTCCTCGGGCAGCACCCTGACCCCGGGCTGTCTTGCCCAGTAAGTGTTTCTCCTGCCAGCCTGATATCGAAGGTGAAATGACTGTCTGAACTTCAAAACTGATCAGGTTTTGCTTGCCTTTATCTCCAGACTCAATCAGATTATGGGCATGATTATATGGTGTCACTGGTGGCAAGGGCCTTGACTCGGTGGCCTCAGGAGTCCCCAGCCCTCTGCCCATAGAGGGGCAGCTCTTTGGGGTGCTCAACAAATGCCACCTATCCCATGTATTTCAGGGAGAGCTGGAGCTTCCTGCTCCTCTCCATGAGACCGATGCCCTGCAAGTAAAGAACAGATTTCAGTGGGAAGGCAAAGCGGGCAGAAACCTCCTGTTTTTGCCTGAAGTGGCAGCTTTTCTGTGGTTAGGTTTCATGCCTGGATTTCATTCAGGATGCTCCGTGAAGTTTGGCCGTAAGTTTGTGTTTGCATGCGTATGCATACACAAATGTGTGCCGTTATTTCTATACATCATTTTGCTATTTACCAGATGGTATTAAGGCAGAAAACATTATGCAAGCATGTATGACTACTATTTCTACTGGGGTAAGGCCAGAATGATGAAAAAAATGTATTGCCAGAAATGGGAAAACCATAATCTTTATTTTTCCCCCTTTTTTCTTTTGCTTCTTTCAGCTCCCTTCAGATTCCTTCAAGTATCTCAACTGGTGTGACCTAGAGGAACATGATGTTCGAGGAAATCAGCTCCTTTGTCCCCGAGTAAGAGAAGGTAAAGATGAAAAAGTCGTGTTCTTGTTAAACCTTTCTCTATTTATCTATGTTGTTAAATGTTAGAGATGAAATCTGAGTCTGCTGTTCTTTTGAAAGGCAATTTCATCCCATATTGCAGATATTTACTTTTTTCAATTGCTATTCAAATATCCCCAAGCAAAAACTGTCATTTTAAAATTTTTATAGTTAATGTTGTGTTTATTATCTCTCCCCAAAATTCATTAACATTTAAATAATATTCAGAATGTTATACACAAATGTCAAATAAGAAACTGTGTGTGAAATCTAGTCCTGTAAATATTTTAAACCTGAATTTTATTTTATTTTAAACCTGAATTGGCCCAAGAATAGCCTATAGGAGTTCTCAAGAATGTGAAATGAAAAATGGTTTAAAATAAGGTATTTGCATGTTTGAGATTAAATGGAGAAAAAGTGCTGCATTGTCCTTCTTTCAGCTAGGAATATAAATAGGTGCATAGCTCTAAGCATTTCAGTAGATCCATTGACTTTAAGTCCTCAGTGAGTGTTGTTTTAAATATTCTGAGCTCTGGAGGAAATATCACTTTCCAACCATGTGCCAAATCATTATGAGTAATCTTCGATTGTTTGCTGGATTATGGGCTCAGGACAGGTAGAAAATCTTCACATTAGTTTACCTCATAGAAGCCTGGAAATATATGCAGCTAAAATATTTTATATATATAAACATATATATGTGTGTGTGTGTGTGTCTTTATTTCAGTTATCTTCCCAGCCAAATATATTATATTTCAGCAAGTAACGAAGTGCCAGTTTCATACGACTTCCATTATTATAAATCTTTATAAATCTTTTTTTTTTTTCTGAGCAGGGCCTTCAGAAGAAGAGCTATTTTTCAGAGGAGAACATCATACTTTGAAGAAAAGAAAGCAAGTAACTGAAACAGAAAAATGGCAAAAGAAACTGCAAGAGAACTGGGAAAACTGTGCTGTAAAACTTTTCTTATCTCTTTCATTTACTCTTTGCTTTGTAAATAAGCCAAGTATATAGTGCAGGTGACTGGAGACTGTTTTCAGTTTTCAAGCTGAAGTTGGCACCATGACTTATGTTATAAAACAGAATGTTTTTAGAAGTTGTATAAACTTCTGTCTTGTGACATGGATTCATTTGTGCTTGGGCATGTGAGAACTAGTGAAGTGACCCGCCTGCTTAGTGCCTTCCACGAATAAATTGGTACTAAGTGGGTGGTTTGTGGATGGCTTAGTTTCATGTTAGCTCTTCCACTCTCTCCTCATACCAGCCTGCGCAGTCCTGTTAGTTTTGGCTGGAGGAACAACGTTACTACTGGTTCTGGTCACCAATAAATTACAAGCTCCCTAAGATCAAGAGAAGTGAGTTGTTTGGAGCAATGGATTTCAGTGGTAGCTGGATCTGTCTCTCCATAAATACCCAGCACAGAGTGGAGGAATCCCAGTGCCTGCCCGCTGCAGAGCCCTTCTGCGCCAGAGCTAAGAGGCCAAATCAAAAAACCTCAACCACTTAGTGCTTCGTTCTCCAGCCAGAGCACACAGAGCGCAGCCAGAGTAAGGCAGGCTTGGGAATAAGGTCCAAATGCTTAAGGGATGGCTTCAGGTGTAAAAGACTGTGTGGCAAAAATGCAAAAGTCACGGTGAAGGGAAGAAGACAAAAAACAGCAGGAAAGACTCTGCTGAAGAGCAGAGGGGAAAAAAAAAGGAGACTAGTGCTAAGAAGTCAATAGAGAAAAATAGAATGACATTTCCAGATAGAGCCTCACACAAATAACTGTCATTTGAATAGAAAAATACCAGCTTTTTCTACTGTGCCTCTTCAGAATAACCTTATTTTCATAGAAATAGCGAGTGTGTTGCTAGAATTGTAAGGTGAATTTGACATGACTTTGCTTTAAAGTGGATATAAGAGGAGCATAATAAGATAGATTCATCTTTTACCTAGTTCTAACATAGGAACAATTTAATAATAGTTACCAGAATCCAATAAAAAGAAATGATTTCTTTTATATTTCCCTCCCCAGGAACTGAACCTCTCATATCAGGACCTGGGGGACCTTTACCAGGTGGAAAACCTCAATAGGATTCTCCGAAGATTAATTCGTGTAGAAAAGCTTTGGCTGGTGGACAATTCTCTGACAGACCTCAGTGCCATAAGGCTGCCAAGGTAAAAAATAAAATAAAAATTAAAAAAATAATAAAAAATAAAAGGTCTTCTGTTCTTACCAATGTCATAGAAATCAAAGTTGTTGCTTAGGTAGTGTCTGGAGCAGACCCTTGGGAACTGCCAAATATGATATTGCCAAATATGACTGTGCTGTTATACTGCAGTTACACTCTTATTCTGAGTTCATGTCATCCCTAAGTTGGAAAATATCCAATAAGGTAGACAGATCATGTCCCCTTTCCTCTTGGTGTTTCATGCATCACATCAAACTCTGATATTTTTGCTAAAAGGGAAAATCATTGAACTCAGCTGAAGGGCTGTGTGTGCAGAGATGGTGCAAGCAGAGAGGTCAGGTATCATCACAACTGGGTTATTACAGTGTGTCTATTGCTGCTGTGTTGTCTTATGACTGGAAAGATATGCGAAAAGTTGTAATCTTGAGAATGGGAGTAATGAAATATTCATTGTATAATATGAGGAAAACTAAGGATAGAAATTGTACTAGTCTTTAGGCAAAAGTAACCTAAGTGTGAAACTAGTGGGAAAACAGGTGCCCTGGAATCAAATTCTTGAATCTTTCATTGAAACCTTAGGGTACCCTGACCTGAGTAGGTGAACAACCTTCCTTCTGTTGGGTTACAGGGGAACCCTGTTGTAGATGAGGTCGGTGATGTCATTTGCTTTGTACTTTACAGATGCAAAGAACTAAATGTCAATAAAAATCACTTTACATCCTTCAAACAGTTGCCAAAGATACCTCAGATTCAACACTTATCACTGTCTGAAAATAACATTAGGACGCTAAGTGGAATATCAGCCTTGAGACACACTCCACTTGAATCCCTCACACTCAAGAGGAATCCCTGTGAGTTTCAAGAAAACTACAGGCAACTGTAAGTTTTACCAGCTCATGCTCAACAAAACTATTCAAAAAGAAATGTTTGTGGGGGAGAAGATGGAGTAGGATCTCAATTACACCAAGCTCTCCCAGGCAGCCTTTTTGTTTTCCCACAGCACCAACCACCATAAATGCTTCAAAACAAAAGGACTGGCAAGCTAATGTCTGAGAATAGGCACAGAATATTCAGAAACTACCTGGGAGTCTCTGTAATGATGTGAATGTCTGTTCATTAACTCAGCCAAGCTGGAGACATTGAGTAGGGTAGATAAATTAGATCCTCTTTTATTAATAGAAATTACCTTTTACTAAAACTCCCTTCAGCCTCATTACATCACTCATGGACTCTGAGAGGGGTCTAAATTACATTACGTGTCAGAGACAGAATCAGGAGGAAGTGTTGAAAGATGGGAGAGAAGCAAGAGAAATCTATTACCTTAACTTGCTTTTCTGATACCGAACAAAAAATATATATATTTTAGCTGCTTGTTTTTGAACCCACTCTGTTTTCTGTTGTGTTTTTTTTTTCCAATGGCTATTTTGATCCCAGCACGGGGAATAAACTTCTGATCTTTTTATTTTTCTTTTATCTCTCTTTAAGTGTGTTCTCCAGTTTGCCAAACCTGAAAACACTGGATGGGGTCCCACAACTGCCAGAGGACTGTTCACCCCCCAAAATCCATTTCCTTTCCAAATTGTGTACTCTACTGTAGCACTGCATTTTGGTGTCATCGCAGATATGCTGGAATCACCTTATCTAAAAGAATGGATACATTCTGTGTATACACATTACCTTCTTTTCTGATCAAAGAGGTATCGAATCAGAAATATTCCAATTCTTTTGCATGTGCTTGCTGATACCACAGGACTGAAGTAAGTATGGATAAGTGGCATATAAATAGGACGTGATACGTATGCTGAGTGTCACCAATTATTGACCCCCATTCCGTCTGCCTACGACGTGTCCAGCCTCAGACCACATGTCCATGCCAGGAAGTGATCCAGGGATAAAGACAAAACACAGCAACAACTGAAGAACAGCCCATGCAGTTTCCTCCTTTGTGTCCCACCAGCATCCTAGTGCTCTTCTGTGGTTTTGTAGATAGGAAAGCCAGAGCCACTCTAATTACTTTGCCCTTTAGAAAATACAAAAATAGCACAGAAAGTTCCATTTGGGAGTTTTGCTCAATGCGTTTGGGATGGCTGGAGAGCCCTGGAGAGAGGTAAATCAGGAGGAGGAAAGACGTCTTTCAAGGTGTTGCTGGCATTGTTTAGGAGGGCCATAATGCTGCTTAAAGAGTCCTCAAACCAAGGCAACAAGGAAGAAAAAGAGCTGTGGAAGTTGAAAAAGGATTTGTAAAAGCTCCCCAAGAGCCCTGAATGCAATTATCTTTGAGCACTATCCATCCCTTTTTGATTCATTTGCTGTCCAATTTTAGGCTGTTTGCAGGCGGCTCTTGCTGGCACATGGATAGCTGTGTCGCTGATGGTTTAGGAGAAGAATGACAGTGTCTTGGAAAATGAAGACAATTAACAAATTGCCTAATTCCAGAGGCAGTCAATAACTTGTGATGTGTATCGGCTGCCTGAGCAGTTTGCTTCAGTTACACATGGATGACTAAGGGCTGCTCAGCACTGCAGAACTCCACGGTACAGGGACTGCCCTGCAGAAAAGCTGGAGAAAATTCCGTATAATGTGATGTGCTGGACTGGGAAAAGAGAAATGATCGGCTTGAAAAGCTTCCTAGCACCCTGTATTGAGTGTCCTCACCCATCCCAAGGGTTAGCAGTCACAGTACTTAGCAAAATACAGCATGAACTGCATCAGATGATCCTGAATTTGTAGAGTATGTAGCTCAAAATGTATCCTACAGCTCTGGAAGGAGGGAGACTGTGAACTGCTGCAAATTGGGGTCAGGTTTAGGGCTCACACCCAGGAAATAGTCTTGAGTGATCCATAGACTCAGGCTGTTCCCTTTCCAGGCACAGATGTTCATGTGCTCATGGGATTCAGTAACTACATCTAGGCTGTATTGCCCATTCCAGAAAATGGGAAGAAACCAAGCTGTGACCACCCTCTCCATAAATGCGCTACGGAATTGAAATATACTGTTCAACCTGAAACTGCAGTCAGATTTCAGAGTCAGAGAAGAGACGTGGATCACAACAAACGACAAGGGGACAGGAGGCTTGAAACAGAGCAAGTGGATCACTGTGTGCTCGGCCGTGTGGCAAACTGGCCCAAAAGAAAAGGAGTCTTACGAGGGAGAACAGGAGCAGAAAAGCTGAAAGCTTTCGAGGGAAGAGGCAGGTATTCTATCTCTGAGAAAGAAATTCATACAGAAATAATACATGAAAGTAATCAGCAAAAAAAAAATGTAGCTGTTGTATTTGGGAATGGAAAGAGTAAAAGAAGCATGAAGTGTATTTTGCTCAATTGAGAGGGTATGTGAGGAGACACCATGTCAGAAGTAAGGCTGGGAACAAGAGTGGGACGTAAACAGGATTTTTAAGTATTGACAGATACAGCAAGTAGCTGAACGCCGACTGTTGTGGGGCTGCTGCATCTAGAAGCTAGG